ACCCTTAGTCACATGATCAAATTATAGATATTTATAAATGTTTGTGAGTGAATAAAGACGACCAAAAGGCATAAAGGACCTGTGGTCATGTATTTGATGTTGTGTGATGTTGAAAGTGAAGAGCGCCGTAGCTGGTGTTTTTTGCCCCGTGGGTAGAGTTTGGTAATTAAGGTGGGCAGATTTGACATGTAAACCTATATCGTTACAGCTGATCATTAAACTGTTACACTACTGCATATTATATACACCTTGTAAACAGGATTTTCTTCTTACACACATTCCAGCGGTGTGTGCTCCATTATATTGTACTTAGTAGGTGGACCATAATGAAATGAGCTTAGTGTAAGAAAGTCCAGCTGAGATTGATTTTAGTGTACAAAACAACCTCAGTTCTGTGGAAAAGGAAAATGTATTCGGACTGCTGGCTGTTATAATTAACATTTACAAAACAAAAAACTTACAAAACACCTTTATTTTTGTGAAGACAAACCCATGATGTTTCTTATAGGACAGAGAAACAGGCTGATGTGATTTTACTGGTTGGGGAAAAGTGTACCTGGAATTGTACTTACAAATTTTACCTGAAGTGACATGTGCATTTTACATAATATTCTTATATCATAAATGTTGTGCTGATGTGACACTTTCGAAATATGTTGATGTAAACACTGTGACAAGTTTGGATTATATATTGTTATGTTCACGTAACAAACGACACTTTTCAACTGACTGAACCAGACAGATCTTTTTTGGATTAATATTGCTGATATAGACACAACTACCTGCGAAATTGAGTCCACTGCATGGATATATATTTGTGTCGACATCTGTTTGGGAATTGACAATTACTTGTAATGGACATCCTCTGAGGGTGGAGACGTCTATTTCAGGGTCTATGTCAGTGTTGTAATTCAGCACAGCTGTTCTTTTGAAGGGACCTGGGAAGCTTGGTGATATGTCCTGGAATGTCACCAATGTTTCACTTTCAGTTTCAAATTCTATAAAAATGATACACTAGAAGTTCGTCACTCTGACACAAGTATTTATTTTAGTGTCCATAAAATTTCTTTTAGGAGAGTTGCTTAAATACAGATGAACATTGACATAGTGCTATATATGTGTACACCGTATGTATGTGTCATTCATGGTGAATTAAATACAGACTGTTAGTCCTAATCTTTGAGATATTCCAAAAAAGATTTTGGAGAAATTGCGAGTTTTCAAGGCAGATTTCGAAAGGAAAAGATTGACAGTTTTTTTAATCCTGTGTCTCCCGCATTTTAAAAATGGAATCTTCCACATGTGTTAAGTGGACTATTTAAGGTTATTCTGAGGGATGACTAGTAATTTAATGTGACACCATGGCCAACAGATCATAATATTCAGTATTGAAATACAGGTGTACTGGACAAAATTGTATGACTTATGGACTGAAGACTTTATAGTGGACAGCAAACACTTTCTGAAATAATTATAAATGAATATAATAGAAAAGAAGTAATTATCAAAATATTGACTGCTTCGATGTAACTGTTCGTCTCTGACATTTGTACCGGTAGATCTCCGAGATCGAACAGAACTGGACATTTGATCAGACATTTTCTGCGTAAGCTTCGATTTTGATATTTTTTTTCTTATACATGTGTCAATCGCTAGTGACAAATGAGCTGTCAATTTGATGTCAGATTCATATATTTTCTCACCTGCTCGGTAGCCAGGATCGATATTCGACCGTGTTCTTTTCTGTCCTTAATTTCATTCAGATTATAATCCTATTAGAAATAACCAGAGAACCATGTGGTGAGGGGATGCTATGTCGAGGGGAGATATTGATATTCAGCTGACGGACGGTGGTCTGTGACAGAGGTGCGAGGATACAGAGTCTACCAGGCTTTTTTGTGTGTACAATGTATATTAAGGAAAACAGAAACGTGACTTCATTTCGACTGAAGCACTGGTTGAATTTATTTGGTTGAAATTACAGTTTGAAATAGACCAGATATTGAAATTCAAATAAATCTGCTGAACAAATTGGAAATAGTAGACATGTGGTGAGGAAGTGTCAAATTGATTCCCGAAGATTGGAATAATTCAGATAAAAACTGACAATAAAGGAAAGCTGGAGGTTTCGGTAATGTGTTTATAGACGTCCATTGACACTAAACATAATGGTCAGTAATCGTGAATTATAACCACGTTTAAGTGATTGCTGCTGATGTGTTTGTTCCCGCAAGAACATTACTGCAGACTGGACATGAACTCTGGAGAGAAATGTTCATATCCACTGACTAATATGTTGTTTAGTGTCGCGTCCAACCAAAAATAATCACGTATTGGAGCCAGTTTATCTATAAATCTGTGCATGTTGCTGAAGAAGGAAATCAAATATTGCCTGAAATGTGTTCCGATAAAAGGATTCAGAAAAAATGTACAGTACAATTTACGCACGTATATATATTCACATCTGAAGAGTAAAGTGATTGAGGAGAAACTTGAGGTTTTGACAAGCCGAACAGAATATAAAAAAAATGTCTTTACGAAACCGAGATCTGTCATGTTTACTGATAAGCTCGGACGGGAGGAAATTCAATGAAATTGTATGATTGATATGCAGACGGATGCTGCATGTATGAATACATTGTAGGTTTAGCAGATAAAGATCAGTACTAGGTGCATATTGGGTATATACACACAACCAGTGTGAAGATTAAAAAAAAAAAAATCAGACATGATTTGACAGAAATTTATATATTATTAATATCAGTGCTGTGTATTATGTAACACAGCTTCTAATACGCTGTTTGGGTTTACGCAGAATTTTATTTTCTTTCTGTGTTTGGGACAATTTTAATTTCGTTTAAGTGCCCCATTAGTCATTGCCACTTCGCTACACTTACGTTTACTTTGGGCGTCCAGGTCAGAATTCTCGTCGGGGCACAAGTTGTTTACAAATTATAAATTCTTTTTATGGAGTTTATGAGCGGAAAATGGAAATTGAAAGCATTTGAAATGAGCTATTATTAATAGAATTGACACAAAATTTATTGAAAACAAGATTGTCTGGTTTTGGTTGGATGTGTTTTCAGTCCTTGATGAACTAGTTTTTTTCAGACATTTTATGTGTAAACGGTTGTATATACATAAAGTATAAATCCTGTGTATTTCACTCACAAGTGCAGGTTTTAGAATTCAGGTGAAAGAAAGTCAAACAGATGTAGATGTGAATGTGTGCTGGATTATGAACATTCCCCTGAGAGATTTGCTGCGGATTTTATTAACTAGTTACGGAGATAACGACGTAATAATACCCGTAATAATTTTAAGTGACATCATTTGGTGTAAACTGTTGTGTGAATTTGCGTATAATGTAGCTGGTATTTGTAGCGATACATGCCCGGATGGTTTTGTTGACATTTATTGTACTATAGATGATAGAGTTAGTTGAATTTGAAATTAACTAACCTGGGTTTTTTAACCTGATGAAAACTATTAAAATATGTCAATTTGATGCATCTTTTAATTAAATAGTGATGTAGGCAATCAAGATATGTCAATTACTTACATCTTTTAATTACAATGAAGACAATTACAATATGTCAGTTTCTCTTACTGTAATTAACGATGATAAAGACAATTACTAGATATCAGTTTCTTATACGTTCGACTGATGATGTAGGTTTCACAATTAACATGAACACGCAGGTTTCAGCTGCGGAATTTCATTAAGAGTACCTCTGTCCCAGCCAGATGCTGGTCACATCGAAAGCTATTTTAACAATGTGACTCTGTGCGCTGGGGGTTATGTAATAATACAGACAACACATTATTAGGAGCCAAGCATTTCTTCGCAGTCTTTGTTAATTTCACCCACATGTTCGTGTGTATTTGTATATATTGAAAAGCATGTGTGTATGAACTGGGGAAAAAACAGTTTACATCTTCATCAAGGAAGTTTACAGAGTTTTATGAGTTGACGTCTTTTGCTCAGCAAAAGTTCCGACGAACCGTTGGGCAACTGGATTTTGATGATAAATATTTGAACTTCTTAGATTATATCCCTGGTGCAATGTGTTGTTTTTCTCCGAATTGTAAATCTGCATTCAAGGAATCTTGATACAGTTACAGCTCAACTGAAGTCATTTTTACAAGCTTTGTGTTTTTTTCTTGCTTTGGATATAATGTCTGTCCATGGAGCCTTGACCGGTTAGACATTTCAGCATTCCATTTTAAAGTGATGGAAAGTGTTTGTTGTGAATCTCTAAGATCTGACTTGGATACAGATAATGCCTTGGATTAATTCACAGCTTGAATGCAAACCAGTGAAATGTTTATCTTGATATGTGCTGTTTTGAAAAAAGGAATTTGACAAGTTGAAGATAAGGGTTTGACACTGTGAGGATGAAGATGGAATTCCTACCATACATCCAAACTGAAATTTTAAATGACAATTCACGAATTCTTCAAAAAATATAATGTTAAAAAAATGAACTTATTTGAATGAAGATTTAACAGTACACAATCTGATCTATAGCATTGCTTCAATTTGTTGTGTTTGTGGTGTCGTGGCGACAATCTGCCATACAGATTTAAAATAATTTTGTGCCAAAGATGTCATAGCGTTAACTTGAAGTGTTATTACATGTTAATCTGTGAAATATTTTTCTGGAGAAAATTGTGAATTTACGTGTGGATTTAGATGTAACGATCAACATGGATTTACTTCGGCAAACAAGATCAAACATCAGAAGCAGGGCCCATCGGCGGTCGCGACCGCTATCCACTTGCTCCAACACATCCCGTAATTTGTTGCAACAACGGTCCAAACTTTTTGATAACATGCCTGACCGTTCATTAAGTATATACGTGCTGACGGTGCTGAGTTTCGTGTTACTGGTGTTGTCCATCGTGGTGCGGATCGGTCGGATGGTGGCTGTCGTCAGTGTTTACATTTGGATTAAGTTGTTACAACTCGTTGACTTGATTGTGTATTTATTCCGCAGGGTATTCAGTCCAGAGCCGGACAAAGTTAACCAGAATGCTGACTACAGTCACATTGAGGGTGAGTAAAACCCTTGACTTTTACTCCTCCCTTTTTCCTTTTGTCCCTCCCCCTTTTCATTTGATCCATCCTCTTCTTTGCTCTGCATCTGTATCCATTTCCCTGGCACCTTTCTCAAAATATTTTGTAACATTCTTCATTTTCCTACTGTCCATACCCTTCCTGTTGGTGCTCCTGCCCTTTCTCTTGCAGCCCCCAACCCCTGTCCCTGTTGCCCCCCCCCCCTCTCCACACACACACTGATCCTGTTGCCCCTACACAGACACACACTGTCCCTGTTGCCCCCTCCACACACACAGTCTCTGTTGCCACCCCCCCTCCCCACACATACACAATTTCCCTGGCCTGTTGCCAACCCCTCCCCACACACACACACTGTCCCTGTTGCCCCCCTACACTCACACATTGTCTCTGTTGCTACCCCACCCCCACACACTCACACTGTCCCAGGCCTGTTGCCCCCTAC